ACGCTTTCGTTTCCGCATGATATCTTGAGAACCCCTTGAGCTTTTGCATTGAAATTTTGCATATTAATCCCCTATGGACTAAAGAAGAACCCTATAGATTTTGTCAAAAGGTGAAAGGTCAAGGTCATAAGTTCATTACCGGCCGCCAGGAGGCGGTCGGTTATATGATATGAACGTTTTAAGTCGCCGTGCGTTTCTGCGGAGTTAAACAATTTGAATAAAAAATATTTAACATTCATGTAATAGAATATTAAGAAAGAGTTTGTAAATGTTAAACAAAAACGCACAATAATCATAAAATTAAAATTTTATAAATAATGGATTAAATGTTTCATCCTATCCTGATTGACAAACGAAGTGCGGAGAAATAAGCACACATGTTGGGCATAGTCTAAAGCAAGGACCGCGTTATATACATGTATAAACAAATTTACTTTCTCTACTTCAACAGGATTTGTTGTATATATAATTTAAAGTGACGTGTAAATATAAATATAAAATGTACTTTTAATACGGAAAAGTTTCAAAAGTATGACTTAATCTTAATTTATTATCAGACGGAATATTACGAGATTTTTCTCCAACAGACAAGGATAAAGCGCGTTTTACAATATGCCAAGCCTTTTCCCGCCAAATCTCACACCAAAACAAGATAGAGAAGAAACGCAGTGGCGGATCTATAGAGGGATTTTGGGGGTTTCAACATCCTCTGAGCAAGCGAGGAGCCCCACATAGTTGTTACGTTTTATTTAAAGTTTAAACTATCTCTACATGCTCTAGTTAGATAAGTTTAAACGTTAGTTTTGATGGTTAAGTGTTAAAACTACTGAAAGCAATATGAGCTGCATGTTTGACATCAGAAGAAAATATTTCAAGTTTGTAATTAACTAATTCAATGACAGGAAAATGTTTTGTTCAAATTGCTATGGAAGAATTTTTTATTAGCTTTGATTGAAGCAAAATTGAATTATTGTCGTCCTGTACAATAATGATTTCTTATATAATACTGTATATTCGGTTGTAGAGAAATGTTTCCTCTGAAACATTTTTAAACTTTATTTTGGTCTTATTGATCATAAGGGTTTAGATTACATACAGATTAATCATAATAACACATTTTATCAGTAAAATAAGATCCTGAAAAATGCAGCTCATTTTGCTTTAAACATCAAACTTCCGCCAGAGTTCGTTTGCACAAATGAGTGCGGGGACGCAGAGGACTATGAGTAAGTTGCTTAAATACATTGTACATGTAGTGCTGGCTTAATGTATATGTATTATGTACTGAAGAAAATCCTGGAATGTCGCATTCAAATGTTTAATGTCACAGGGATATATATTAATTAACTGATAAATATAAGAATTCAGTTTCTAATTGTTTTATGAAAGAATTAATTAATTGGTTTGCTGCCGATTTTTGACGCTTGCGTCAATATACTTCTTGTAAATTCTGTCTGTTATAACACTTTCGTTACCGTGCGATATCTCAAGAGCCCTTTGCGCTTTTGCAATGACATTTTACATAACAACTCCCTGTGGCCCAAGGAAGATTGATTTTGAGGTCAAAGGGTCAAAGTTCCAGGAAGGAAATATATATGTGCAATCGCAATTTCTCGGGCCTTTCCGACTAGCGGAAAAACGACCTCGAATGTACTAGGGAAACGACATGAAAATCTCTCCCACCTCTTTTCACGATCTTTGAAAGAAATGCATGGAGATCTTTCATCTATGGAATTTGGAGATTAAGTTTATTCAATGTAATGATATTACCTAAAATATACCATAGGAGGGATTTCTAACTCCGTCTGTCCTATATTTAATTAAACAGAAAATGTATAAATCTTTCACATCCGGTGATATTAATACATTCGAGATTGTTTTTCCGACCTCTGACAGAAGCACACGAGAAGATGCGAGTGTATATATGAGGTTCAAGATGGGGGTTCCGTTAAACATTACATGTGTTTATTTGGTTGGCCTTTTATGGATGATCAATAAAAAGGGGGGTTCGAATTGGTGATCTATATTTTTGGTCTCGTAAAAGATACCTTGTGTTTTTATATAGTAGAAAACTAGCGTACTGTATAAATTAAAGCGGCTCTGTGCTAGAGTAATTCTAATCCAGTGTCACTCAACAGCTTCGATAGCTCAGTGAAATGAATACCCAACAAAAAGGTGAGGGTACCGGGTTCGTTTCTCAATTTTCCTCATGTGAAATTCAACTCTAATATTTTCTAAATCTCTTCTAAAAAGCTTTTCTGAGTTCTTTCCTCGGTAGAGGCACGGGAAGAAGAATAAGAAAGAAAGATATTAAAGAGAAACTAGTTGCACTGTGAGCACTGAGCTCACTTTAATGATACCCCCACCCCTCCTGTTTGATGTATGAAAAAGTCCACGTTTTGCTCAAGGAGACCCGAAAGAAGTGTCAGACCAAAAAGTAAAATAGGAGGTGCACAATGGCATTATGTTATTAAGAGTCTGTGAAAGTATCATCAAATTCCATTGGTGGTATAGGATAAGAGATGGGTTTACCCTCAATATTAGAAATAATTGCAGTATCCATGTTTTGCTAATAGAGCCCAAATTACCTGGTATGTGTCAGACCAAAAAAAAGGAGGTGTTTGTACCATGGCACTATTTAACAAAGATTCTGTGAAATCATCATTAAATTCTTTGAAGCCTCATTAAATTTCATTCTGTGGTAGAAGAGGAGATGCAAATAAGAAATGAATACCCCAAAGCGTATCAGACGGACGGACGGACGTACAGCTGGACAGACGTACAGACGGATGGATACCCCTCCCCTCTGTTTTTTAAGAGGGGTTTAATAAATCACGTTCACACTGGACAAAGCACTTAATGATGAACATAATATAGTGTTTATAATTGGTATGAATTCGGACCTAGTAAAAAATTAATAACACGAAAACATGTTGAAATTTTCAAGTGTTCTAATTATTTATTTTAGACAAGCGTTTATTATTTGTTAAAGTACATATCAAACTTACTTTTGATGGCTGTTGTTTTATGTTAAAAAATGACGTCTCTACAAAGATTTTTTTTCTGCAGACACACTCGTCGCGCTTGTAAAAATATGTCGACTGATTGAAGTATGATAACAGTGGTGGATCCAGGAATTTCATAACCGGGGGGGGGGGGGGTAGTACATGTAGAAGGTGGTAATGGGGGGGGGGGTCATGGGGCTGCACTGCAGGAATCGACGTCTAGGAGTTTCTTATTCTGCGTACTGCAGCCCGAGTCGCGAAAGAACAATGGGGTAGGTGCTGGAAGGGCTTTTCCCTACTGCTGGCGAGGTACGGGGGCCTCCACCGCGGGTGGAAATAGAGATACCAAATCCTGCAATCTAGTAGTATTTCGGGTAAACTTATATTTCACTTTATGGCTGTACCTAAGACATTTTCCATTAGAAAATTTCCAGCTTAAAAATCATTTAGGGTATTCAGAATTACCTTTTACATTTTGATTTTTAATAACTATGATGATAAAACATATGTATATTTAAGACACGCGCAGATGTAGAGGGGGAGCCGGCAGGGGTGGTTGGGTTGGTGGGTCCAGACTGCTCCTGGAATTTTCAGATTTATTGGATATTCTATACTAACCCAAGTAAGAAGAGACCTTGGACCCCCCCCCCCCTAGATAACGGTGACCCCCCTCAAAAACTTGGATATGGTTAAGTTGGTATGAAAAGTCAACGGCTACACCCCCCTCCGGCCACCAAACACTCAAATTCTCAAGCCCCTCAATTAAATTCCAAACACTTATGAATAAACCTTCTTACCATAGGAATCGATTTATTTTTTTTTTTTACACCTTTGAATTTATCAATTATTTGTTGTTTTATTAATAATTATTCGGAACTGGTCAAACTTTGGAACTGGACAAACAACTGTTTTAATAAAGGATGACGTTTGCAGAATTTATTTAATTTCTCGCCCCTAAGTCAGTGAATCGGGTGTTAGGGTACGACTCTATTTACATGCATAACATGTTGTAAAAAAAACAACTAAATATGCATTATTTTTCTTGAAAAGCATCTTTTCGTCCAAGCGTTACGGAGACTAATTATTGTAATTAATTGTAATTAATTCCGTTCCAGAATTTGGACTTTCGTAGCAGAGTTGAAGAATTTCTGATTATAAGACGGGACTCTATTGATTTATGAGAAAAATGTATTAATACACTGCTGTACTTTGAAAATCTTTATGCTCGGTCAATATGCTTTATCTAAGGTCTACATATATCTAGGGATTGACCTTATTATAAGGCTATAATTGTATATAATAATAATAGTTTAATAATAATAAAGGAAATCATGGAAATCTATAAATTTATTAGTTAGTGGAAATCCGTTATTTCTCTAAAAACCTTGATTTTTTGGTATACTAATCAGGTGTCTATCTGCTCTCTGATCTCTTACTATATAATTGCAGAAATCTTATCATTGCATTTGGTTTTCGCATAAAATTTAGGAAGTGCACATGACGAACAGAGAAAACGATGTATTTTATTGTCTCGATAGACATTCTTAAAATATAGATAATAAAATTAATTTTCATTTCTAAACAAACATTACTGTTAATCCCCCCCCCCCCCCCCCCCCCCCCAAAAAAAAATAGCGTACCCTAAAATTTATGTATTACAATAATATTTTACTTCCATTGAATATTTGTGCCTTATTTCTTAAGAAACCCCTTGTCGTTTATCGGTCCTTTTATTTAAATAATTATTTGTACAGTTAAAAATTGTATTTCTTTTTTTTTTTTTTTTTTTTTTGTTTCTTAATAAAAAAAATTAAAATTGTGTCTATGACAGAAAAAAAAAACCAAACATGCTATACATTTTTTGGGGGGGGGGTGGGGGGGGGGGGTACATTTGTTTAATTAAAGACCCATTTTATGCCAAGGCCAAGCACATTTCATTATTTTCTTTTCGATTGATCGGGTTCGTGAGACATGAATTACAGAACACATGTAGGAAATCCATGCAGACGAATTTGGAGTTACCATGGTCATGGATATTAAGAAATTTTTGTGTAAGTCAGCAAATATTCATTTAAAATATTATCATTACAGGATATCGAGAAATTAAAACAATACTGGCAGTGTCTTTATTAAACATCAGTGGAGTTTCTTACTGACTCACTGTCTCAGGGCAAAGTGTTCAAGGGGCTTTTCACAAAATATTTTTCTTCTATAAATAGATACCCCTGCTTTAAAAATACACTAGCGGATTTAAAGCCTCCCCTTTTGAGTCCAAAAATACACAATATTTGTTAAATCAATGTTTTTTGGTGTGCATGCTTTGGGCCTCTACCCTGACCTCAAACTGCCCCCCCCCCCTCCTTCCCCTTCAAAATTTCTGGATCCGCCACTGAAATACACCTTGTGTGTTTTTATAGTAGGGGTATCTATATTTAAAAGAAGGTAAATATTTCGTGATAAGCCCCTGTGCTCAGGGATGCCAAAGTCCCAGCTTGGTCGACTAGTGATCTCTGCTTTTACTTACTTTACTTGCTTATATTCAATTCAATTCAATTTTTTTTTTATTGATTCACCAAACATGTTGACATAAAACCATGTTACATACAAAAGACAAACATTAAAATACATACATACATGCAAGTGTATGGGCCAGTGAAGTCACTGTTATGGACGAATTTCATATACTTTTCCTATGAGTTATCTCCCGTTGTCGGCGTAATGCTCATTTTTGGCACTTTGTCCTCTGTAAGTTACCTGTTAATATTTTTAATCTTCAGACGTTATCGGACAATTTCGATCTGTACCTGTGTTGCCAGAATATCATTTGGGGCAACATGAAAAACGTAATGAACATACTCATATATTTACATTCAGTGTAATTTTCCTTATGAAATCCATTAGAAATCCACGACGTTCATTTTTCTATATTTACATCCACTGAATATTTTCTTCTTTATTTCTTCAGAAAACCCATTGCGTTCATCCCTGCATAAACTACATTAGGCATATCACCTGTACAGATTTCTTGATCAGTGGCCGTTCCATCAATGAAACGTACAAAAACGTTCGCATCATTAACACAATAATTGATATTTTTAATCCTACTTAAAATGATAATTTAAACAGATATAAATATAAACAATAAAATGTCTTTCTTTGTTTGTTGTTACTGTAATGAACGGTCGCAGCTATTGCAGAAAAATTTACATAACCCGCTTACGCGGGTTATGTATTTTTTCTGCAACAGCTGCTTCCGTTCATTCCAGTAACAACAAACACAGAAAGCATTTTATTGTTTAAATAACACACGCGGAACCTTGTCACCGAGCGTTAGAATACATAGTAGGAAATATATGCAATTTCAATGCTCTAGGAACACCAAATGTAAAGTGTTTTATTTCAATTTAATGAAAAACTATAACCCTTAAAAATAACGTAATGTGCGTTAAGATTTAATTTGTAACTGTTTACCTCGCAATGTTTGTTTGCGTAATTTAACTTTGAAACGTCATTTGACGTTACAAACGGATCTTACAAGTGTACATCTATTAACCACGGCAGTTTTGAAAGGCGATAAATTCACATTAAAGATTAGCGAAATAAGCAATTATGGAGAAGAAAAAATAGAGAATATAATTATATAAGCATTGAATTCATATTTTGGGATGTCTTCGGTCCTATAACACACCTGGCCGTGCCGACAAATTATCATACCGCGCTAACGCTATCGCTAAACACACAAGGAGAGCGGGTGAGCGATGTGGTCCATAGGCCTCTTGTTTAAGTTTGAAACCATCATTGGGGCAGGGATGTAATATTGATTATAGTATTAAGGCCCAATACTGTAGTGCACGAAAACAATGTATACATTTTTATAAACAGCAGCATGTGTTCATTGTCTTGGTTCTAACTAAACTTGTAAAGCTTATACAGACGTGAGAAAATAATAAAAAAGGAATGTCACTAATTAGAAACACACTTTTTTCAGATTTAGTAATGCTGTTGGCTGAATGTGAAGGCGAACACAAGGTATAAACTAGCCTTTTCCCAACCAACAAATGCATGTTGAAAGATATTTTAGAAGTTGACATTTGATTTAATTGTTCATGAATTGTTTATGAATTTGAAATTTTATTTAATTTTTAATAGTATAGTCCTCTGGAAACGATGATGGAAACATATAAGGGATGGTCTAAAGGCATGGGCGTTAAGGATACGACAAGTAACCAGGAAAATATTTACATATAAGATTTATAATTTTTCTTTTATTTATGAAAAGTTTCTGATATAATTCAAGTCAATCCTCTATCTTGAACCCTCTTAATGGATCAAGGAAAAAAAACTATCAGAGAGAAATATGAGGATTTGATATTTGATGAGGTTACTCAGAGAAGTTGGTACTTTTACTTCAGTATATCAAAGCGGTATTTGAGATTTTAGTACTGTGTGAGATACGGAATTAAAACTAATATTCTAAAAAAATATAAGATAACAGATTTGTCTTGCAAGAGAAATGCACAATTTTCTTTTTAGCTCACCTGAGCAAAAAAGCTCAACTGATCTTTTCTGATCACATTTTGTCAGTAGTCCGTCTTTTCATCCGTCTGTAAACTTTACATTTTCACTTCTTCTCCAGAACGGCTTGGTCAGTTTTAACCAAACTTACCGAAGGGCCATCCACTCATTCAAGAGGAGATATAAATAATTTGGTGGCATGTTTTCAAAATTGTTATCTCAAGAAGCTGCAGTGTGCCAATAAAGATGAAAATTATTGGGAAACATTCTCAGGTAGTGTAGATTCCGAAGTTTGTCTGCTTCAAATTGCCCCGTGGGGATCCGGGTTAGAATACGTCCTCAGTACCCCTTGTTTGTCGTAAAAGGCGACTAAATGGGGCGGTCCTTCGGATGAGACCGTATAAAAACCGAGGCTCCGTGTCACAGCAGGTGTGGCACGTTAAAGATCCCTCCCTGCTCAAAGACCGTAAGTGCCGAATATAGGTCTAAATTTGCAGCCCTTCACCGGCAATGGTGACGTCTCCATATCAGTGAAATGTTCTGGAGAAGGGCGTTAAACAGTATACAATCAATCAATCATTCTGCTTTAAATCACAACCCCTGGGATGGGATGGAGCCACAATCGACAATCAAATTTTAACATATATATATATACTAATGAACAACCTACCAAACTTTTCTTCTGTAGAACAGCAAAGGATTTATTGGTCATATTTAAATGCAAACGCATTCAGAGGTAGTGTAGATTCCATTGTATTTCAAGTCCGACCCCTGGGGATGGGGCAAGGCTACAGGGGAGGACTCAAATTTTACAAGGAAAGCAAAGGTATTATTGGTCATATGTAGCAGCAGCTTCATCCTCAGATACTGTAGATCCAATCAGATCTTTGATCCACTTTTTTTTTTTTATTTTCTTTACCTCATTTTGTTAAAATCAATACTCGACGGGTAGGGTGGACAATCAGTTATACGTAGAATATATATTTAAAAAATATCAATAAATCATCTGAACAAACAGCAGAGCCATGATTTGGCATAGTGTAGATTCATTCATTTTTTTTTCAAATCATGACCCCTTGGGGTAGGGCAGAACACAATGCGTGGGCAAATTTTAAATAGGAATACATACATAGGACATTTTTAAAAAAAGAAAGCCCTTCTCAAGAACATCAAAGCTATAATTGGCCATATTTATATGGAAGCACCCTCAGGTAGTGTAGATTCATATTCAAAATAATGACAATGTAGTAAATCTAAGGATTTATTGAGAGATCTGGCAGGGATGAAATATTAAGACTTTCAAAATAAGTTGTTTGGACTTTAGAATCCTTTGGATATATCCATTATATTTGAGGTATCAGTGTTAGAGATATACTTCAATAACTAGAGGTTACTATACCCAAATCCTCTAACAAATCCCATCAAGAAATTGCTTATGAATCAGTTATTGGAAAATTATTTGTAAGTAAATTGCAAATTCCAATGCAAATGAGCTAACAAATCACTTTTAAGAAATTGTAAGCAAATCACGTTTCTGAAATCAGTATACGAAATCACTCTGAATACATTGTTTACAAATAACTTCTGTTTAACAAATCACTTCCAAATCACTTCAAATAAATTGTAATCAAATAATTTCAAACATTTGCAAACAAATCACTTTAGCTTAACAAATCCCTTTCAAATCACTCAAGGTGGTTAACTGACTTGTATGCAAGATGTTCATGCAACTATACATGTACCGCAAATATTCGAACACATATATATTTGTTATATATTAACAAAAAACTTTTGGCAACAGCATTTGTGCTTTTTCAAAACTATGTCAGTATCTAAAAGTCCCACAATGCACCATTCGTAAATACAGAGATGTATGTCTGTCCGTCCATCTGTAAACTTTTCACGTTTTCAACTTCTTCTCAAGACCCACTGGGCGAATTGTAACCAAACTTGGTACAAAGCATCCTTGGGTGAAGGGGAGTTTAAATTGTTAAAATAAATGGCCAGAACCACTTGACCAGAAACGCTGAAATTTATATGGAAGCATCCCTCGGTAGTGTAGATTATGAATTGAAAAAAAAATCATCTTTTAACAAAAAATCAAAATTTTACATAGAAATAAATAGGAAAAACATTATAAATCTTCTTTTAAAGAACCACTGGACCAGGAAAGCTGAAAATTATATTGAAGCATTCTAGGGTAGTGTAGATTAGGAAAAAAACTACTTCTCAACACAATTTGGCCAAAAAAGCTAAAACTTATATGGAAGCATACTGGGGTAGTGTCAATTTGTAAATGTTCAAATCATGACCCCCTGGAAATAGGACGGGGTCACAATAGGGAATCAAAGTTTTACATAGAAATAAATAGGAAAAATCTTTAAAAATCTTATTCTCAAGAACCACTGGGCCAGAAAAGCTGAAACATATGCGAAAGCATCCTCGGTTAGTGTAAATTATATATTGTCTGAATTATGACCCCTGAGGTAGGATGGGGCCACAATTATGTATTACTAGGGGAAAATCTGGTAAAGAAGAGAATGGTCAGGGCTACTCAGGTGAGCGTTGTGGCCCATGGACCTTATGTTTGCTATAAAATTTCCAACCAGTGAAAATGTTCTTGACAGCATGCTCCTACTGTCAATAAATCTTCATAATATAATTCGTTTTGAAGAACTACAATGTACCTGGCTTATTTACTTCCAAAATGATCCTTTTTTCTTAATCCGAATTTTTTTCTATTCCTCCGTTTTTATTTACAAGTGGGGAAATCTGATAAAGAACAGCATGGCCAATGCTACTCAGTTGAGCGATGTGGCCCATGGGTCTCTTGTTAATTTATGACCTAATTACAGTGCTCAGGTGATGATGTGGCCCCCTTTGGCATCTTGCCAATATTAGAATCATTTTCTCTTGCAGCTAAGACTTTTGCGACAGGAGAGGTTAAACTAATCGGTAAATCAAAAATTGTGTCCGTAAAATGTCACAATAACCTAAAAAGTGGTCTGGCTTCTACTGCAGCTGAATGGACTTCTTTTTTCATTGTATGGTGGAGTGCCAAGCATTCTAAACCATCTGATGATTTCAAAATGATTGGAGGTAAGGATATCCTCATTTTAGATCAGAATCTTCTGGTCAGAGATCAGAGGCCTTTAATGAATAGTAATAGCTGTCTGTCTAGCTGTATATATATCTAGCTGTCTGTCCGTCCATCTGTTAGCTTTACTAATTTTTACTTCTTCTCAAGATCCATTAGGCCAACATTTTAAGCAAAGTTGGTACAGAGCATTCTTGGGTTAATGGGAGTTTAAAGTATTATAATGAAGGACCAAGTCCCTTTAAAATGGGTCCTATACAGAGTAATCAAGAAAACACAAAACCAGAGGATGAGTCATTAAATAAATCCTTCCGGGAAATAAGAACCAATACTGGTCCAGAAAAACTGAAACTTATTTGGAACCATCCTGGTGTAGTGTAGATTCTAAATTGTTCAAATCATGAATCCCAGAGGTAGGGTGGGACCACAATAAGAAATCTAATTTTAGATTAAAATATAGAGGGTAATTCTTTAAAAATCTTCTTGTTCAAGAGCCACTAGGCCAGAAAAGCTAACCATACCAGGCCTAGCATATTCCGGTGTATAATCTAAATTGTTTCAGTCATGACCCCTCTGGGGAATGGTGGAACCACAATAGGGAATACAGTTTTTCATTGTTATATAATTATAAGACGATGTAGAAAAAAAATCTTCTCAAGAACGACTTGGACAGAGTAGCTGAACTTTATGTTGAAGCATCTTTGGGTAGTATAGAGTCTCAATTATTTAAATCATTATTCCCATGAGAAGGATTGGGGGGGGGGGGGGGCTACAATATATAGGAAATCAAAATTTTAATTAAAATATTAGCAAGCATTCCCCAGAGAAATCCTTTCAAAAATTTTAAGATTAATATGTGTTTAATATGCGTTTTTCAAGCAGGGAAGTGATTCAGATTAGGATTTCTAAAAGTAATACTGCAATAGGTGACTCCTGGAAAGATATTGGCAGAAATATTTTTTCAAGGTCAACTTCTATATTCTAGGGTTGATCCGGGAACCTGCAACACACCATTTATTTATCTAGGACTTATTATAAACACATAGTCTGTAATGTTACAATATAAAATAAGAGTGTTCCAAGGACCACAATTGTGTTGCCTGCTTTGTAGTTTCAGTAACGATTTAATTTAATTATAATGTTTGTTTTCTAGCCTATGATTGGTTAATATCAAGAAAGGAACACAAATAATTTCTGTATAACCTGATTTGGTATGGGGATACACCTCCCTGACAACCAGCTGAATCATCTGTATCCATGCATTGTACTCTCATTCCAGTCTTCGGTTTCATGGAAAATTTAAGATTCAATAAATGTATATCTTTAATTTCAAAATGTAATTTTGCACGAACTCGATCTCAACATGACATTGTGTAAACGATCAATATGGCTGCTAGCCGATACATCAGTTTTTATTTTCCTTTCCTTCCCATTACTTCTCTCACATGTACGTACATGGTTGTTTTATTGAGCGCAAATTTGATCTCATAAAATAAAAAGCAACAAAATTTGACACCTGTAGTTGTTTAATGATTTTATAATTAAATTATAAGGAATGAAATTTTAATTCTTGGCCAAATTATTTAGGTATAACCTGGTCTGGGTCGGTTTATGCTTTATAATCCCCAACGTTTCATTAAAGATGTGAATAATGATGGCCATGTTTTATGACAAATAGTGTACATAGGCTAAATAGCCTAATTTTACCTCTTAAATATAAAAAATTGCTTTATTTTGGTACTAAGAAATATTTTGAAGTAAGAAAGTCAAATGTCATGGTCATGATTCACAAGGTTAATAACCATAAAATTAACAAAAGCTTTAGTACCAAGCAATATATGTGCAAAATATTTAACCTGTACCTCTTACAGTTTTTAAGATATAGGACGTGACAGACAGAAATACAGGATGATGGATGCCATGTAAATTCTTGGGATCATTGTATTAAATTAGTTAGTTGTCTGTATTGCTGCTATTGCAGGTGCAGGTTTACTCGATTATGATAAAATGGGTTTAACTAACATAAGATGGCAACCCAGGAGTGATCTTATAAAAGAAGTTAAGCCTCATATATTGTGTGCTGCAGAAAATCAGGGCGGAGAACATCAGTTAAAAATGAAACATAAACGTGAGTGTGAAGTTTAAAACCATTTATTGATTTGAATAAATACTATAACCAATGTTAAAAAATAAATGCAAAAAGATATAAGAAGGCGCATATCTAAACTTTAATGCTAAAGTTTGCAAATACATGGTGAAAATTATCTCCCTTTTTTGCTCATCTGGCTCAAGTGAGTTTTTCTGATCAAAATTTGCCTGTTGTCTATCGTCATTGTTGTTCTTGTTGTTGTTTTTGTCGCAGTCATTGTATGCAAACTTTTAACATTATTATCTTCTTCTCAAGAATCACCGTGCCAATTTCAACCAAATTCACCACAAAATATTCTTTGGTAAAGGGGATTCCTGTTTTTTTTTTTAAATGAATGGCCACATCCACTTACAAGGGTGGATTATCGTAAAAAAAAAATGAAAAATTAGAGCAATTTTAGCTTACCGGAGCTGAAAGCTCAAGTGAGCTTTTCTGATCACATTTTTTCTTTAGTCCGTCTGTCTGTCTGTAAACTTTTTACATGTTTTCGATCCAAGTTTGACATAAATACTTAGGAAAAATCTTTAAAAGTCTCCTTTTCGAGAACCACTGGGCCAGTAAAGATTAAACTCGTGTTGAAGCATCGTCAGGTGGTGTATATTCAAGTTTGTTCAAATCATGACCCCTAGGGCAAGGATTGGGGCCATAATTGGTTTGCAAAATTCTTCAAAGTTTTCATCAGGACTAAATACAAAAACTCTTTAAAAGTTTTCTTCTTAAGAACAGCAAACCTAAGACCGTTCACATCTATATGGAAACATGGTGGGGTAGTGTACGAGGGCTGTTTAATAAATAATGTCCTGAACTGAATGACATACAATACATATACAGTGTATCACATAACATTTAGTTTGGCTTTTCCGCATTAATGAATCTTAAATGATTTTATAACAATTTATGTGACCACTTTTAATCACTCTGTTTCATTGTGAGAAGCTGGAAAACAAGGGCTAATCGAGACACTGCATTAAAAATGAATGGTAAAGAATCAGTAAACTAGAGTTAAATTAAACACTTTATTAAAGCTGCTTTAAAACTCGTTAAGAATCCCAAAGAAATATTCACTGAAATATGTAGCATTTACGGCAACCAATGTCTGTTTATAGACAAATGAGCAGATGGAATTCAATGATAAAATAATATAATGGGCATCATATATTGGTACCGTCCTTGCCAACTAAAAATATATCAACTATTATCCCGCTTCAGACAAATTTGTAGATTGCTGATTGGATAAAAGCTGATCACATGACACCCTGAAATTTTCCGTATTACGTCTCCGTCGAGGCTTAATATGAAAATCGGGCACGCGATTCCGTTCGCAGCGTTGTTATTGTAAATAAAAATGGCGGCTAAGAAACGGTTTACGTAGGTAGTTTAGTTAATTTTCTTGTTACTGTAACGATATTTTATGTTGATTGTTATTGGATTAAAATTTCATATTTTCATAATATGCACAAATATTTTTTTATATCGATAAAGGTCTTCAGCGGGATAAATTCGTAACACAGTCAGTTAGTGACCTAATACGGATTCATACAGGGTGTGAAATGGAAATCCGTATTGGGACTCGGCTTGGGACTGTGTAACTAATAATGTACTGTTTGCCAAATTTCAACAAATAATCACTGATGATGTATGACTTTAAGACATAGCAAATTTAATAGACATCATTTCGGGATTAGTTCACAGTGTTTTAAAGAAACCGACGGTAAAAAAGCTTAGTACTCAAAGGTTACCCTATGCTTTGAAAAATGAGTGAAACGAAAACGTGTAAGAATATCTAAACAATTATTTCAAAATATCAGTAATTGTAGTTATCCACGTTTGTTTGAAATTCAAACAGATAATGAAACCTGAATGTATTGCTTAAAACCCAGGAAACATAATTTACAATGAGATATACTTGACACAGATAGCAAAGGTCTGTGAAGAGCAGAGGATTGCAAGAACAAAAAGACAGATTTATATGCAGTTTTCTTAAATATTAGTGGTCTTGTTGTTCAAATTCCTATTCGGGAAGTCAGATTAATTTCTGAAAGAGTCTAGAGGGCAATTTTTTGTTGCAAATTAGTTTTTAGTGAATGAGAGAGAGGAACCAGAATCAGGATACCACTTCATTAAATTTCTTCATGACAGCGTCCAAACCCGCACGCCCTGAAGAGTAAAGAGGTTTTTGGGGGATAAACAGTAATATTTTTTACATTAAAAATATTGGCCAGATCTGTGGCCTTTTGACTTGTTTCATTTTTTAAACTTGAAAAAACACCTTTCAAAAGGAAGAAACGAGTCCAAAAAATCAAAAGATCTGCCATTTCACGTATATAAAGGGTCATATCCAAAACTGAGTTTTAAAAACAATACGAAATTGGATAGAAAAAAAAAATTACGGTCTGTCATGTGTTTTAATTGAAAGAAAATATTAAGTCAAATCATTTAGACTGAATCATTGTACTCTTCTTACTGTGCTATCGAAGCTGTTGATCGAAATTAATTTTAAGTAACTTCAGTACATTTCTTCACCTCCATTAATTTCTATCTATATATATTTGAAATACATATTAGTACCACTATTTTGTACATAAACTAATAAAGAGTGTATTTTGAATCACATATTCTTTATTATGTATTAAGGAACAATAAATACAAGTTTTTAAAAAGGTGGATTTTACGCTGGTTAATATACAGGTAGCGCTCCATTACTTAAAAGCAATGGACCTCGGCTCCTGTTTTAAATAATTTTAAGACCGTTCCCAGATAGCATGACTATGCAGTGGCGTAGCATCGTTTTTGAAAGTGGGGGGGGCCAGGCAGAGAAAAATTTTTTTTTACTTACCTGAAAAAGTTGACAAGCAAAAAAAAAAAAAAAAAAGGGTAAAACTTGCCCGAAGTCGAAAATCCTATTTCGTGGGGGGGGGGGGGGGGGGGGGGGGGGGGGGGGGGGGGGGGGGGGGGGGGGGGGGGGGGGGGGGGGGGGGGCTGGCCCCCCCGGATACTACGCCCCTGCTATGTTGGGCCAACACTGGGAAAAGGTTGTATGGTTGGCGTTGGGGGAACAACGTTGGACCAGTGTTACCACGTCAACCTCCTCGACCATGACAGAATTCCTATGTTGGTCCAACGTTGACCAACGTAAGCAACTTCCAATCACTTTACTTTCCGAAGAAAGTAGAATACTGATGTTGGTCCAACGTTGTCCCAATGTTCATAATACACCCTTAAAGAAAGTGTTTTTTTTTCAAATTGTTATTAGTATGTTGGCCAAACGTTGGCCCGATGTTTGTAATACACCTTTAAAGAAAGTATCTTATCAAGATGGTAGTAGTAAGTTGACCCAACGTTGGCCAGATGCTTGTAATACACCCTTAAAGAATTAAAGTGTCTTATCAAGTTGGTAGTAGTATGTTGGGCCAACGTTTGCCCAATGTTTGTAATACACCCTTACAGAAAGTGTCTTATCAAGTTGGTGGTAGAATGTTTGCCCAACGTTGGCCCGATGTTAGCAAGAGTGTCATTTTGTTTAGGTGTTTCAAAGATGGGATATTTATATATTGAGCCAACGTTGGTCCAATTATTATACTGCCAACTAAATGATGGTGTCAATTTTATAATTAGCTGCTGAGCTTTACGCTGGGACAACGTGGGTTCCAAATATTAATTTAGATGCACATTCTGAAATAATTAAGAGGACATTCTATGTCCATGCTTTAAACTGGATTAAATAAATGCTTTTCTTTAGATAAGATATTTTCAACATATTAACTTTGAACTTAAGTGATCACAACACCAAAGAGTGTTTAATTCTATTTTTTGAATTGTGTGCATGCTTGTTTATTTGTAATAAAACGCTTAAAATTATGATTTTTTCATGAGCGTTGTATTCATGAGAATTTAGATAATACTAAATAAATGTTAGTTTAAAGTTCACAGGAACAGGATGTGAATATATATATTACAGGGAACAATTATCTACAGATGTACTTCATAATGGATGAGTGTGACTCTCCTGGCCAGTTTCGATGTGAGGCTGTAGTAAAGCTCTTCGGAAAAATATATCCCATCTATGCTTATTTTAATGCAGATAAAGCTCAGGACGGAGGAGTAAGTTCAAAATGTATGTTAATGTATTCATGTTGTACTGTCTTTATCTTTATATTGCATTATTTACCTATCTAAAAATGACTCTCATTCTTTTCATTTTCTTTTTTTTTATTTTTAGCTCTACTGGTCAGAGACCAGAGGAGCCTATGCGATAGTAAAGTGTCCGTTTGGCCTTTTGACAGTTATATAGCTGTCCATCTGTCTGTCTGAATAAAAACATATCTTAAACATGTTTCTCCTATACTTTTGGACTGATAACAGATTTCAATATAAGTTGGCTTACGAGTAGAATACATTTGTATACATTATTATTTTTTGGTGAACAATGTTAAGTGATTACTGAAAATAATAATAAAAAAAACAAGATGTGCCCGGCGGAAAGAAAGTACAAAAAAAGCTATTTTTATCATACAGGTCACAATCAAGGTCACAAGGTCATTGACCTTGGTGGTTTTTTTTAAAGAAGTTAATTAGTGGAGTATGAAGTCTCTATGTGTTGTGGTTCTAAAGTTATGGCGGGGGACAAAGTTGACTACAGACAGACAAACACCTAAAGAGACAGGACAAAAACAATAGACGCCTCGGATCTATCGATGTTGGCGCATAAAAAATGAAATACTACTCATAATACAGATTTGGTCTGATTTTGATATAATGCGGCAGACAAATAGACTACAAAGAGAAAAATAATTGTCTGTATTGTTTTGTATTTTGATGAATGATGATGCCATGTTCATTGAAATTAAAATTTCTTCAATATTCTTTTAAAAAGCTATTTCCGCCTAATTACGCGAGACGGTATGCTCGCGAAAATTTCATTCTCGCGCATATTAGAATTCCAAAAGATTATATAGAGCAATGACCACAACTCGTGAAAAGTTTTTCCCGCTAATAAAGAGTCAATGACTATCTCGCGGAAGTAAAGTTTCGCGAAAATTAAATGATCTACAGTACTTGTCCATATCTTTTATATTGTAAGGCCCAGGACCATCAGACATTAAAGGCGTTTAGGTAATGTGTCTGGAAGCAAGATAAGTAAAATTCCAAAAGTAGATCACATTGACCTAATTTTTAATTTCTATAGCTATAATAAGACAAATTGTGTCCAAATGATGACTTGTACAGTATGAGACCTAGAATCCTTAAACTATCTAGGAGTAGGGGTGGGATGTTTAAGAAGAGACATATTCACATCTTTTTTAAGATTGTACTTACCGTAAATCTGGTAATTATTTTGCGAATCTTGCTCAAAATGCTGTTGATTAATTTTTACGTTTCAAAAATTTGCGAATGACCACTACTTTGATTACATTTTCTTATTGTTGAATTATTTTTAAGAAAAATATTAATGTGATTGCAATGACCTTGCAAAATTGCAAAAAATTATTTACAAGCAAAAATTCCCAGATTTACGATATTTTACAGGTGATTCACAAAAGAAAAAGGGAGAGAAGCTGTACCTTCAACTTTTGGTATGTTTATTTTTGGAAACAATCAACACTCTAGAAAACAAGATGTGTTTGTGAAACACTATGCGTCCGGCGGCAACAAATCTTTTTAAAAAGCTATTTTAGCATATATGTCACAGTCAAGGTCATTGACCTTGGTGTCATTTGAAAGAAATTAATTAGTAAAGTATGGATACCAAATATGAAGTCTCTATCTCTTGTGGTTCAAAAGTTATGACAAAGTTTCGAAAAAATATATTTTTAGCATAAAGGTCACAGTAAAGGTCACAAGGTCATTGACCTTGGTGTCATTTGAAATAAATTAATTAGTGGAGTATGCATACTAAATGCACAGTCTCTATCTTCTATTGTTCGAAAGTTATGGCAAAGTTACAAAAAACTATTTTTAGGATATAGGTCACAGTAAAGGTCACAAGGTCCTTGAACTTGATGTCATTTGAAAGGGTTTAAAAAGTGTAGTATGCAAACCAAATATGAAGTTTCTATCTTTCATGGTTCAAAAGTAAAGGCGAAGACTATAGTTTGCAGATAAAAAGCTATTTTTAGCATATAGGTCACAGTCAAGGCCAGAAGGCCATTGACCTTGGTGTCATTTGAAAGAGCTAAATTAGTTTAGTATGTATACTAAATATGAAGTTTCTATCTTTTATGGTTTAAAAGTTATGGCGAAGGTTAAAGTTTGCAGACAAGTTTGCAGACAAACAAACAAACAGACAAACAGACAGACAGGACAAAAACTATATACGCCCCGGATATATCGATCCGGGCGCATAAAAATATCATTGAAATTCTTTTTCATGCTTATTTTATCTTGAATATTATTTTCATTTTATGTAGGATACTCTGCCAGACCTCTACTTGAAATCTGCAAGATTGTCGTATGTTGCATCAGGTTATCATATATCAGAATTGAAAAACACTCAACAAAGACCTATAAGAGCTAATAATGTATTATAATGTTCAAGAAATCAAATTGTTATAAAACTGAGCATTTTTTCCAAAGGATAACAAAAACATTATACTTTTTTTAGTTTCTGGAGAAGATGCAAAACAAAGATCATCAAAGAGTGTTGGTATGTGTGCTGAATTGTTTCATCCTTACCACATTTAATTATACCCCCCACTTGAAAAGCGGGAGTGTATATAGTATTCGGTATGTCCGTCCGTCCGGCCGTTTGTCTGTTACGCTTTGGGGTACTTATCTCTTATCAGAAACTCCTCTCATACCACTGAATTCACATACCAAAACATGGACACTATCGTTTTATACATATGGGAGGCGAGGGGTATCATTTAGTGAGCTCAATGCTCACAGTACCACTAGTTGGTCTGAAAATTTAATGTTTGTCATTTCCCGGTAACATTTTCCCATATCTTTTTAAATTGCATATTGTACAAAAAAAATAATTTGTAGGCAGTATTGTTGGGTTATTCCCTAACATTGATCTTTTGGCCCCTTTTTATGCAAATTTTACAAAACTTGAGCCTTTGCCTTAACTTCTGAACTTTTTAACCTTTGTCTTAACTTCTGAACTTGTTATATATGCTATGGCTTTCTAAGTCAAATGTACATTTCATGTAATAAGACCTTTAAATCCTTGAACATCAACAAATAATTTAATTTTGTTTGTATTCTCGCCTCTCATTGGTTGATTTCCAAAAAGGAACGCAAAACATTTTGTATAATCTGGTTTGGTATGGGGACACACCCCCTTGACGACCAGCTTAGTCATCATATCCATGCAGTCCCCTCATTTCCAGTCCTCGGAATCCATGGAAAATTCCAGATTTAATAAATGTACCTTCAACTTTAAAGAATTACTCGTTCTTACCTCATGTAAACAAACATCATGACTGCTAGATCTATGTATCAGTTATTACCTCCCCTCTCTTCAAATCACTTCCCTTACTACGTTTGTATTATTGCGCGGTAAATTTGAACTTATAAAAAGCAACACAATTTTACATCAAAAGTTGTTTAATTATTTTAAAATTAAATTATAAGGAATGACTTTAATTCTTGGCCATATTATCGAGTATAATCTGGTTTGGGTCAGTTTACGCTTTTTTATAATCCGCTTCGCGGATTATAAAGCGTAAACTGACCCAAACCAGATTATACTCGATAATATGGCCAAGAATTAGAGTCATTCCTTAATTAACATTGGATTTTGTTTCACTGTGGCATTGGCACAATAAAGATCATTTAGTGCTTCAACTAAAACACCAGATAAATGTATACATTGTAGGACAAATACTCGTGCAGATGACATCTCTATACATGAGAGAAGATAATCTTGAATAAGAAATCTAACAACATACAATCAGACAATTAACCTTGCAAATAACAATTTAATCCTAAGGTTAAACTAACTAAAGTTAATGTTGATGCTCTAGCTAGATAGGGCCTCTGATTTTATATATCCTGTACCAAGTAAATTTGTCATAAAGTGAAATGGATGCAAGACAATTAAGATGCAACATTAACATTTTAATTTAAGTGGTATAAAAGTATGTTTACTTTCTTGCACAATGAAATATTGAGGACACCCCCATTACACCCTATTCATTTAAGGAAGGGCTCTAATTTTGGGGAAAATCATTCGAGTGTAACCTGGTTTGGGTCAGTTTACGATTTATAATTCGCAAAGCGGATTATAAAAAAGCGTAAACTGACCTAAACCAGTTATATTCGAATAATTTTCGCGAATCAAAAAAAAAAAAAAAATGAAACTGACCCAAAGTAGGTTATACTCGAATAATTTGGCCAAGAATAAGAGCCATTCCTTCTGATTTTTTTTTCTGAATTATTAAACAACTAGTTGTGGGAGTAAATTTTCGTTGCGTTTTATGATTTCAAATTCGCTGTCAATATATACGAAATTAGTAACGGAAGTGATGGGAGGGAAGGGTAGGTACATGACATTGTTTGTTCAAATGTGGTAAGATCGAGTTACTGACTTACTGTTTGAAATTAAAGGTACATTAATTGAATCTAGAATTTTCCATAAATCCTGAAGTAGAAAATGAGAGGATTGCATAGATACAGATGGATTCAACTGGTTGTCAAGGGGGGGGGGGGATCCCCATAGCAAACCAGGTTATGCATAAATAATTTGTGTTTCTCCCTTTTGGATATTCTTTAACCAGTGAGAGGCAAACAAAATTATATTATTCTCATATTTGTAAACATATTTTAATGACATAACCAAACATTACCATCTTTTTTTCTTTATCAACTTGATCACCTAGTTGTTATGTTATGACGCTTATAAAGCTTAACAGCTTATACAATTTTTAAGTCCACTATTGACTGAATGAATATTTTTCTTTAAAAGGTGGCTATACTAAAATAACTGGAAAATATGAAGAAATTAAAGGATTACGTCATGACGTTACAGTGCAAAGTGGATACGAAAGAAATCAAAGCAAAAATTATAAAGGTGGTTGAGTTTTACTTCTTCTATCAGCCATTGGATGACTGGCCCAATGCACGAGTGATTTTGGCAGGCCTAGTGAAGGAAAAAGCATTATTTGTACATCCGTACAGATTTCGAATGTTTCCACAGTTTCGTATTCTATTGGATAAAAAGAAGCGTGAAGCTTGGGATGCTAAGACAGGCAGTGGTGAGAATATTTTGATGAGACCAAAAAAAATTCAAAACATTTGGATCTAACAACTTGAGTCATGTTTTTATGAGTAAAATGAACGAGTTTCACCGCGTATTTGTTATTTTTTATATTTTCAAAAAGAAAAGCGATTTGATATGAAAGAAATTACGTAGTATAGAATAATAAGAATGTTTTTACAAGCATCACAGAAGGTTAACAATTACTTTATGTTCTAGAAATGTATTATTTGCATCATTTTCAATGAAATAAGGCCAAAAAATATATACCAATCCAGGCATCCAGTTTTTGTTTGTATCATCTGTCCTTAATTTATTTGTGCTTTGAAGTGTCCATTTATTTTTGCCAGGAGTCAAAGTTTTCTATTTATCCTTTTTATAATAGATTCTGTTTCTAAAAATGCCCTAAAAATTTTAAACACATATTAAGTTATTCTGATAAAAATAAAACACAATCACTTATGTATTTTATATTTTTTCACCACTACCAACAGCATGTGATTTTGATATTTCTTTAGCAAATGTAGCCCATTTTACAATTACCATACCAATGGATCTGTGTGATACTCTTACCGGGACATTCCAATGTCAGGCTAAGATATTGGCAACTGGTTTCTCGAAGCACAATAATGCATCATTGGTAACTGGATGGTACAAACTAGATCACTCCCATTTATCTAAAAAGAGTAAAAACTGTGGGGGAAAAGAAGGACCAAAAGGTATTTTTAAAAAGTTTTTCAAAATAAAATTACAGGTAAAGTACAAAAATCTTTTTAAGTCACCTTATTACATTTAGGAGTGTTTCTGTTTCCTCCCCTGCTCCTGGGTATTGATTGATTGATTTTATATTGTTTTACGTCCCTCTCGAGAATTTTTCACTCATATGGAGACGTCACCGTATGCCGGTGAAGTGCTTCAAATTTTGACCTTTACTCAGCATTCAGGGACATTGAGCAGTGAGGGATCTTTATCGTGCCAACGCCTGCCGCTGACACGGGGCCTCGGTTTTTAAGGTCTCATCCGAAAGACCCGCAACTTTCACTTCAAAGTGCCGAGCGCATGCCGAAGGAACAGTTGCTACCCATTTTATCGACTGGGTCCTGGGTATTGAGTAGATGAACTACCTACACATAGTTATGATGAGCAAGAATCCTTCTTCCAGAATTGTTTAATTTCAAGCTTAAGACCCCTGACCTGACCCCTGACCTTAAGACCCCTGGGTCAGGGGTCCTGTAAAGTGAAAGCAGTTCTAATGATTATATTATATATACTGAAAATAAATTAATGCTTTGAAATCAAACTCGGAGTACTAGTACTTACCTTTTTTTAAAAATGTGAAATGTGTAGTCCCAGGGTCAAGGGTTCATGTGGGGTGGGGGCACTAGTGATTATTGCTTATAAGTTTTAATGCATTTTTTTGTTCCCCTACTCTGTCTGTGGGTATTAAGTAATCAAACTAAGCATGCTTAGTAAATAGTTGTGATGAAAGTTGTTACATGATGCTCAGGTGACCCACATGTATAAGGCCCATGGACATCTTGTTCTGTTACATCATTTCAGTTTTAATGGATAATTTTTCTGAATTAAACATTACGCTGATCAGATGCATGAATTAAATTATAAAAAAAAAGTTCTGCAATTATTGTAATTGTTAGTCTGATATGAGTCATTATCAAAATTCGCCAATATTTTGGTCACAAGCCGATAAAAAAGTATATGAAGTAAAAATTATATAAATTTTCAAATCACTATTTAGAATACATTATTCTGTATGTAGTTGGCAGAATATTAATTTTATAGCTGTCTGATATATTTAAAGAAAAAAAGCATTGATAATAGCTCAAATAAGCACATTTTGCGATGTCCTACACTCCATTCCATTGAATTAACAAGTGTTTATGGCCAAATGTTGTTCATTTTCTTTTCATTTTTTTCCTTGTATGCCTTAAACTATTCATGATAAATGCCATAAAAACACTAAAATTGTCTTAAATAAGCTCATCTTGTAAATATAAAGACTAAAATGTGTGTCCCACGAGTTTTTGTCTCTCCTGTTACGCCAATGAAAATCCAGAAAATGGAAATATTCAGAATGAACTTTTCTGGGTTCCCTACTTACCATTAGCCTTAGTTACATTTGCATGATACTAGGTTGTTAATGTAATTTATTTAAATTTGATAAGTTTGAATAAAATGTCCAAAATATAACTATGATTTACACAGTAGAAAAAAATTATGTCCGTACTGTTACATTGAAATGAAGCATTAACAATGGAGTGAAACAATTTTAACTTCTTTTACAAAATAACTGAAACATTTTGTTTCAAACCTACTGCATCATCAGCTTGTATGGTAATCAAAAGGAAAATAAATTACCAAATATAGAGCAATTGTCTACCCTGTTATATGTCCATCCTGTTACGTGTTAATTTGTAACAGTAAAGACAATTTTTGTAACAGGAAAGACTAACATTACATAAAATGTGGATTTTAGACCTATCTCATCATTAACCAAGAAATTTATTGCATGATTTTTATTAACATTGAAGTAAGTAACACAAATACACCTTGATTAAGGATTCGTTGTTTCTAATTGTTAGTTGAAACATAAAAAGTGATTTTGTAACAGGAAAGACATAACATATTGTAACAGTACGGACAAATTTTGCTTAAATCAGAAAAAAATTGGACTTTTATTAATTTGTCAGATATAATATTATTTTCATTTTATTATTTTGTAGTAATCGTTCTATTTTTTATTCTTTTTTCAACTATGAAAAGATAATTTTTGATATTAAAGGACTTCTAAATATAATTCTGTAACAGGAAAGACGGGTATTGATATAAAATAAACAATTTTTGAGAACTCTTTACTTATAAGCACAGTATAATTGTTGAATAGTCTTTGATGGAAAAAAAATCATTTTAAAAATCATTTTTAGCCCTTTTACCCATAATATAAATTCAATATATGATTATTTATTAATTCCGTGTAACAGGAAGGACACAATAAATTATATTACTTAGCTATAGGCAGTATATAATTTTCCATCTCTAAACAAAAGTTTCACTCAGCTTAAGGGATTTGTTACCGCCCTATTTAGGCTGGAATTTAGGCCCAATTCCAGAGGGTCATGATTTGAACAATTTCTTTAATTGAAGATGAAGATGCATCCAAAGTAATACCCTGGTATTACTGATCATGGCTCTGCTACATGTAATGAGAAGATTTTTCATAACTATTTGTACCCCCAATAGCCATGTAAGTCTAAATTAACCAATAGATGCCAAACCCTACACCAGTGATCATGATTTGAACAAATTAGAATGTACACTAAGTATAAATGCTTTTATTTAGATTTGACTGATCAAGGGTTTGCTGTTCCTGAAAAGAGATTTGTTGATATGTGTCCCAACTTACGCCAGTAATATTTTGATCATTCATAATGCCATACCCTACCCTAAGGGGTCAAGATTTGAACAAACTTTAATCTACACTATGTCATGAAGCTTTAAATTTAAATTTTATCTTTTCTGGTCTTTTTTAAATGACCTGTCAAAGAATTTTATTCTTTCTTAATTATCTATTGGAAGAGGGTGTGACCCTTCATTTGAACAATTTAAATTTCCTTTTCATAAGATACTCTGTGCTAAATATAGTTAAAATGACCAAGATAAAAAAAATGTGAGAAGTTTCAGAAAACAATAACAAGTTAACACCAACAAACAAAACACAAATCTCAATAAGAAAAGCTCACCTGAGCATTTGGCTCAAATAAGCTATAGTAAACATCATGAGTGGGGTTTTTTTCTTTCTTTTTTTTTTAATTTTTGTTTGTTTGTTTTTGTTTTGTTTTGTTGAAAATTGCCATGTGATATAATTTCCCAATCAGTGATAAAATGAAATTAAATTATGACCTAGCTAGGACCTATTTCCAAATAGCAGTGGAAAATTCTCAAGTTCATCAATCAACTTGCCAGAAACATACATTTTTTTGAACTACCTGGTAATATTTTATATTTCTATATTTAGAAAAACAGTGAAAAAAGAAAGTTTTCTTCTAAAAAAAGGTAAAAGAAAATTAAACAGGCAAAAGGGGGATGGCTCTACAAATCCATGTTTTTCTTTTAAATGGAGGTTAAATATTTTTTTCAGACTCTACAAAGTGTCCTTCCTTTATGTTGTAAACGCCAATATTTGCATAGGCAAGCAATTTTCTTAATGCAAATCCTATTTTGTTTTACATTTTACATGTAATTCAGGAATTATTCTAAGTTATATTTAATTAACATGTAACATTGTTTTGTACTATTACAATTCTGTGTATTTTGGAAAAGTCTCTCCTGTAACAGTCATACATATTCATTATTTTTATTCTCTATTTGTTCCTATCTTAACTTTAACATAAAGTTTTTTCATTATTTGGGAACACCAGTGTAAATTTTCAGGATTAATTAAATTATGTGTTTAACAAAATGAAGAATTTGATGTAGATACACAGAAATTTCTCTCCTGTTGCATGTTCTGTTCTTTCCTGTTACACTTTTTAACTGAGAGACCAAAAAACCTTTCAAGGTCATATTTTTCTGGGATTGTTATAGTTAATCTATATCTTTATAATATATTAACAGATTTCAGACTGAAACTGATTCAATATTTACTTTCCAATCATTTCTAAACTAGAATTTAGGATTCTGTTACAGGAGAGACATGTCTATTGCAAAGTACTGTCTTTCCTGTTACGGGCCTGTCTTTCCTGTTACATGCACTTTAATTATGAAAATATGTGGTTTATATGTGATTGTAACAAGATTGGATCTACATGCATGCATAAAATGCCATTTCTTATCAAATGTGTGAATGCGGTTTTTTATACTAACTTTTACGACTGTAAAATGGTGAAAATATTGACCAAAATGATGTTCAGATTTGAAAATTGTCTCTAAAATCATTGTAAAAATTATTTTGCTCCTGTTTCATTGAAAAATTATAACTGATTCTTTATTTGTCATGCTTTCACAAACTAGGCTGAACTAATTTTATAATTATTTTTCCACCTCTTAATAGTAAAACTTGCATTAATGTGTCTGTAACAGGAAGGACAAAATTTTAGGTGAACCAGTATTTTGATTTCTTCTTACTCCGAAATCAGATAATTTCCAGGTGGGAGTTAAGTGTTTTTGTGTTCTTCAGATATGTGTTTTATGGTAACGATTTAAAAAAATTAATTCTAAATGCAAGAAATTTGCTGATTTTTCCAATATTTTTTTCTGCGGTTTTTGATAATGACTCATATGCTTCAAGAAAGATATTTATTGTTGATACATAATTATTTTATATTAATCATACTGTATAGCAGGTTAATTTTTAACAGGAGTTAAAGTACTTTGGCTTTAATCGTTATACTATAGTAATCATCACTAACTAAAAGAAAAAAAATCACTTTCTGGTAAATTACTATGATTAGTCTGTTGTTTAAGCAATATATCTTCCTTCTGGTATTGACAGTATTTACTCAAATATTTTTGTAACTCGGTACTAAAACATATATAAACATACAGTTACTGAAGCTTATTTAGAAGATTGATTGTGTATTGTTTAACGTTCTATTCGAGAAACGTCACCGTATGCCAGTGAAGCGCTTCAAATTTAGACCTATAGTCGGCACTAAGGCATTATGCCAAAAGTAAATCCTAGCTTAAGAATTCTGTTATACCATTATAGTCATTAAAATTATCATAGAACTAAAAGTAATTTTGCAGCTTATGGTAATGAAGAAGAATACACTTTACAGCCTATATTTAACACTGAGGAGGACCTAGGAGGGGAAGGAGGGGGAGTGGCCATTGGAATTATCTGTGCTCTGGTTGTGCTTGGAGTCATCGGTTTTGGAGCTTACAAAATGTGAGAAGATAATCTATTGATATATCTATTTATGACATTTTTAACAACGATATACTGTAATTATTCAATGAATAAAAGTGATATCCTGTCACGATGTGAAAGGATATCAAAATGATATTCTGTCACAGTGTGAAAGAATATCAGAAGTGCATGAAAACTCTCGATTTTCCTTCCCTTCAAAAAGAGTGTTGTAAAAAAAAAAAATACTCCTTAATCTTTTATAAGATAGAAAACGAGTTCATAAACAGTATTTCAATAAAACTTGGCACACAAGTAGACTATACTAAGATACATAATTCTGTGCATCGGTTTTTTATTCAATGAACGGTGTTGCCTTGGTTACCCAAACTAGAAATTTCTGTTAAATACTTTCAAAATGCTTCTCCAAATACAGTTTAATTCTGATTATGATATAATTTGGCATGCAAGTAGTTTTTTGTTCCTGATTTTGATGATATATAATGATTTTGCCATGGTAATTAAAATTAAAAATTCTGTAAAATTTTATTAAAATCCTCTCTTACAGTTGTTGTCTTATTGTAATATATATATTGTCTCAATATATTATACAGTTTAATGCCCTAGCTGCTACTTTTCTCTTCCTATATTATAAGTACAAACCAGTAGAGCTACAGTCTCGACAGAGACTTCTGGTTTTTATTATACCTTGTGGAAATATTAAGCATGATATAAATAAATATCATTTAAACCTGTGTGCCAGGTTTTATCATATTGTTTAAAAATGTATGAGACTTTTTAAAAATTTCATTTTTAGGTTATTAAGTGATATTTATGAGATTCAGAATTGAAGTCCTCGAGTCTGGGCATAACTTGATTGTGGGAAACTGTTGAAGAAAATTATCATGCAAGCCAATCGATTGATCATCGTCATGAAATTGAAAAATCTTAGAGTTATTTCTTATATTTACATGGTATTTCGGCGTTTATGCAAATTATCACGCAAGCATATCTATTGGTCACATCATGAAATCGAAAAATAAGAGTTATTCCCTAGATAAAGTACATTAACTGTAATTTTATCTTGGACAAAGACATTGGAAATGTAAATATAAATGAATAAAGGGCAAATATACCACAAATTGGAATTCAGATTTTATTAGAGGCAGTCAATTCTAGTCATAATTATATGTATGTGTTGGAGGAGCATTTAGAAATCTGCTTAGTTACCTCTAGTACCTGTGCTTTTGAACCATTTACCAACATAATGATTCAGACAAAGTCACTAGTTTCAAAAATTTTGTCAAATTTTGAGGAACATCTATATAAAGTTCAATAAAAATTGTAAGAGCCCGGGCAAGACCAAATTTAATTAAACCCTGGGTTCTAATCCCATTTCTGGGCTGAATATATTTTCATTTTTCAATCCACCTTTCCTACTATTGATGTATATTTCTGTAAACCAAATTTTATTTGCGACATATTTATTTCGAGGTTTACCAGGGGAAAACTAGTTCGCAATCATTTTTAACGACTAAGCCTTTCTTGGATCTTTAGTTGATAGACTCAAGAGACTTTAAGGACCAGTTCGCGGTAAGAATTATTTGCGATGGCGAGGCTCTTGCAACCTCGCAAAAAGTTTTCGCACGCAAATAAAAGTTGGTTTACATTACCTAAGAACCTGTCAAACTTCAAATCTTTTTCCCTCTCTCTCAATTTTTTATTCTTTACTAAGAAAACTTTTAAGTTACAATAAATATAGTCACAGCATTTTAAGTCACGTTCCCGAGGTTATAAAGTTTTGTATTTACTGTTTAGATTTTATTTACTTAAAAAATGTTATGTTGAATGACTCAAAGTTTAATAATATCAGTATTTTATTTAAGGTTTCGTCAAAGGTCAACATGTCCGATTTTTTTTTTTACAATAGCCCCAAAACTATGTAAGGTATAAAGTTAAAACTTTTACAGTTTATAATTTTTTTTATTGATTAACAGATAGAAAGTATCACTTGTTAAAGAAATACTTGGAATAATATTAATTGAGAAAATTTCTTCTTAAAAATGCATATATTTTCAAAAAATATACACCTAATTAATTCCGTGCTTTTAGTGAAAACCATCATTGCAGAAACAAAATATGTTTATCAATGAAGGGCAAGTTGGACTTGGATAACCTCTGGAAAGTTGTTTTCCTTGTTTATTTTGTCCAAATGTTAAGACTTGAAAGTGAAAGTACAGTGCAAATGGCGGATTCTATAGGGGTCTTGTAATTATACATGTCATGCTTTCAATAAAAGCCTTTCAGAGACCATTCACATCCAACTTGCCCTTCAATGATAAACATATATCATTTCTACAATGTTTGTTTTCACAAAAAGGACAGAATTAAGCAGGTGCATTTTTCTTTAAATATGCACATTTTCTGATACAATTTTTCTCAAAAAATATCTTTTTAAAAATATTTGTTATCAAGTGATACTTTCTATCTGTTAATCAGTGATATATTTAAAAATTGTAGACGTTTTGACTTAATACCACACATAGTTTTGGAGCAATTGTAAAAGTAATTTTTTAGACTAGTTGACCTTTGACGAAACCTTAATTAAAGAGCTCTTTTAGCAGAAACGTAAAAGTTGACAATTGGAAACTTTGTCATTATCATAAGAAACACATCAATTTTTTTCAATGTCTCCAAGTCATCAAGGTTTCCATGCACATGTAGTTTAATTGTCAATTGAATTTTTTTAAAAAAAATGATAGCCAAGTGTATTGTTTTCAATTACTTCGTGTCTGGTTCTTTTCTAAATTGATTTTTTTTTAAATTTGAGTCAACGGTTATAAAAGATATTCTAAAAGAAATGATTTCATGCTTTTATTTTATTTTGTTTTGCAGATACATGAAAAAGAATACAGGACAGGGCACTAAGGTAAAAGTGTGAAGTAGGAAAATATGGTTTCAAAGAAAATGCTTTGAAAATAGTCATGCTGAAAATTCAAGACTTTACCCCTTCTTATAACTGAACTACTGAGTCAGGTATCATAAAATTTTGAATTAATTTATAAAACAAGGTAATAAAGAAAACTTGTGTCCCCCACTTATGGTAAAAAGAAGAGCATGCATGGATTGAATTAGGGGAGGGGAACATTTTAAGAAGGGCGGGTGGGGTTATAGGGAGTTCTGGTATTAAATTTAATTGCAAAAATTCAAAAGCGTTATGAGGTATCACCTGGAAATGAAAGTTTTACAAACACACACACACACTCACACCCACCCTCTCACACACCCTCACGCACACAATGTATGAATTCGAATTAACAACGTTAAACCTTTGACCCTAAAAATAGATAGAGGTCTTTCTTACGCCATGAAGAGATTGTATTATTTTTTATACATTGTAGTTTTGCCTTGTCCAAAGGCTCTTTGGTGATGTGGGGGTCTTGATTTCGCAAATTTTAATCTTCTTCACACATAAATGTTATTTACCAAATTCATTGAAATTTGTTCAGGGATTTTACCGGTGAAACTTAGAATGTTGGACTGGAACCAAAAATAAAACCCCGTAATGTTAGTCCTATACACAGTGATAGTTTTTATTTATTTTTTTTTAAATAATCCTATATTGAATTATGAAGTTTCTCTGGTGCATATTATGGACAATGGCCCTCTTATTAACATATAGGATGAAAGTGAAACAAGACCCATTAACCCCGGAGTGGCAGGAAGGGGGAGAGGTCGAGGGAGGGGTCGTGGAAGAGGGCAGGTACGACTTTCATGTCAAACTAGTAAGATTTCCAATTATTATCATGCCAATCCATCTCATACATGAAGGCAATTATCAAAAAAATAAACTATATTTCTTTTATTCTGATACCTATAATTATAATATTTCATATATTCTGATACATATAATTATAATATTTCATATATTCTCATACCTATGATTATAATATTTTACAATAAAAAAATTACTTTTTTGCAAATTAAAGCAAAGGCCTGGTGAATGAAGTCATGGTTCCAGATTGGCCTAAGATTGCCAAAAACTTTTAAAAACCTGATGTACCCATAGGAAGTTCATCATTGACTTGTATAGTTACTTTAATGATGGGAATCGCAGAAAATATGAATGCAAGTAAAATTCCAATCACAAATGGAAGAAGCTAGCTTACTTCTACACTTTACAATCCTTCAAAATTTTTATTTTTAGTTTAAAAAATATATTGACTTACTTTGATTTTATGTTTTAATTAAAATGTGGATAATGATTAAAATAAAGAAGATTTACATAACACAATTAGCTTCATGTTTTATTTTGTTAGATACAGCTGTCAAATAAAAGAAATAAATTGTCTTATTTCATGTAGAAATTTAAGCCAGAATTTATTAATTATGGTAAATGGCATAAGTTGTGATGATTTTTGTTTATGATAAACAACAATCTTTGTGATAAATTGATTTTTTTTTTCCTTTTAAGATAAGTTAAAAGCTAAAGTGGGTATTTTTTAACCATCTGTTGTCAACAAATCAATATGTCGATTCATTACTGTAGATTCCTAAATATACGCGTGGAATTAATTATTGCGTAATTTCGCGAGAAGCACCAAACGCGAAATTAAATGATCAATTAAATAACTAGCCTTTTTATGGTGCTGAATGTAATTATGTTAAAACTCTTGATCAACCGTCCATTCGCGCAATTCTTATTCTCGCGATTTGCTGTTGAACCATTTTTGTCATTATACCCCTGCTCTGAGGGAGAGAGAGTAATACTGTTCTACTCTTGTGTGTCCGTCCGTAACAATTTTTTTTCGCAGTATTCTCAACAAGTACTCCGATCAGAATCGATGGGCCAGTCAAACCTTTTTATGAGGAAGTTTAGAATCTAAATTGTTCAGATTGTGTCCCCAGTGGTATAGCATTGTCACAATGCAGGATCAAAGTTAATTTTATGTTTTTAAAAGTATATAATTTTTTGTCAAATCTATTTTTTAAAGAACCGATTGGCTCAGAAAGCTAAAGTAGATGTGAAAGTTTCCTAGGGTATTGTACAAGGGTTGTTCGAAAAGTTCGTGGACGATGTTCATCTTTGTTATTATCTTTTGTTATAAGAGAGCTGTTCAGTATATAATTATCCACGGTGCTCGGAAAGAAACAGAAACGCTTTTCAATAATTTAGACTTAATGATTTCACTTAAATATTCTCTTTCATATAAAACACATTGCCGTAGCATCAAAGGAGTATATTGACTTTGTCCTGTCTGTTTGTCTGTCTAGCAGTTTGTGTGTCTGTCTGTTGTCAAGATTATCCTTACCCATAGCTATTGAGTGGGTGGGACTATGGCTTTCATATTTCACAGGTGTATTTCTTGTGACAAGACCCTTAATTGGGTACCACCATATTAACCTTGGCCATAACTTTTAAACAGTCAGAGCTAGGGCTTTCATACTTAATATGAGTATTTATTGTGACAAGACTTTTCAGCTGGTTTAAATATTTTTGACCTTGGCCTAAGAGTTTGACCAACTATTTATAAACTTTAACCTTGGTCATAACTTTTGAACAGTTATCACTAAGGCTTTGCACAGGTGTATTCCTTGTAACAAGATCTACCTTTGAGTACCAACTTTTAAGCTCAAAGGCTCAAGTTAGCTTCTCTGATTAAAATTTGTCCGTTGTCTGTCGTCGTTGTTGCCAGCTTGGCGTAGTCGTCGTAAACTTTTCACATTTTCATCTTCTTCTCCAGAATCACTTGGCCAATTTCAACAAAACTTGGCACAGAGTATCCTTGGGTGAAGGGGATTTAAGTTTGTCAAAATGAGGGACCACACCCTATTCCAAGAGGAGACATTCCAAAGGGTGAAAAATTAATGGCATCTTTTAAATTCTTCTTCTCAAGAAGGGCCAGGAAAGATGAAACTTATATGGAAACATCCTCATGTAGTGTAGATTCAAGTTTGTTCAAATCATGACCCCGAGGGGAGTTTTACATAGGAATATAAAGGGAAAAATCTTTAAAAATCTTCTCCTGAACCATTGGTGCAGAAAAGATGAAACTCACATGGAAGCATTCCCAGGTAGTGTAGATTCAAATTTGTTCAAATCATGACCCCCGGGGTAGGGTAGGGCCACAATGGCAGATCAAAGTTTTACATAGGAATATATAGGAAAAATCTTTTTAAAATCTTATTCTCTGGAACCATTGGGCCAGGAAAGTTGAAATGTGGAATCATCCTCAGGTAGTGTAGATTCAAGTTTGTTCAAATCATGACCCCCACAATGGCTGATCTGTTTTACATAGGAATACGTAGGAAAAATCCTTTAAAAATCTTCTCAAGATCAGCAAAGCCATGATTGATGATATTTATATGGAAACATCTTCAATCAGAGTTTAATATTCAATTTTGTTTATATCATGACCCCTGGAGGTACGGTCGGGAGATAAAGGGTTTACATAGAAATATATATATAGGAAAAACTTAAATCTTCTCAAGAGCAGCAAACCATGGCATGCTTGGTGATATTTATATGGAAGCATCCTCAGGTAGTGAAGTTTCAAGATTGTTCGAATCAAAATTCTTGTGGGTAGGGTGGGGACACAATGTGGGATCAATGTTATTAGGAATATATACTAAAATATCTTTAAAAAATTTCTGGAGAACAAATCCATGATCAGTATTTTTTTTATATATGGAACTAATGGAAGTATCCTCAGGTGGTTAAGATTCAGGTTTGTTAGGGTGCTCTGTGGCCACAATGAGGGATTAAAGTTTTGCATAAGAATATATAGGAAAAAAGATGTGTGATTGTGAAACACTATATGCGCCAGGCAGCCTTGGTGTCTTATGAAAGAACTTAATTAGTAGGCTACCAAATACCAAATACGTGTATGAAGACTCTATCTCCTATGGTTCAAAATTAAGGGCAAAAGTTAAAAAAAATATTTTAGCTTATATGTCACTGTCAAGGTCATTGACCTTGGTGTCATTTAAAAGAGCTTAATTAGTGGAGTATGCATACCAACTATAAAGTCTCTATCTCTCATCGTTCAAAGTAATAGCTAAAATTCTAAAAATCTAATTTTAGCATATAGGTCAGTCAAGGTAACAAGGTCATTGACCTTTGCGTCGTTTGAAAGAGTTTTATTAGTGGAGTATGCATACCAAACATGAAGTCTCTATCTCTCATGGTTCAAAAGTTATGGTGAAGGTTAAAGTTGACAACAGACAAAAAGATAAACAAACAGACAGGAGAAAAAAACAATAATCATATGCCCCGGATCTATCGATCCGGGCACATAAAAATCTTCTCCAGAACAGAAAAGTTTCTTTTAGTCAAATTGACACGTAAGCATCTTCAAACAGTAAAGAATTAAATTTATTCAAATTATGTATGGAGGTGGGGGGGGGGGGGGGGGTAGCAAAGGGTTACAATGGGAGATCAAGTAATATGTTGGAAAAACTTTTACATTAAATCTTCTTTTCAAGTATGGCAAAATTATACAAGTGTGCTTAATTGACATAGTAACATTCTCAAGTAATAGAAAATGAAAACCCCCTTCCCCCTACAAGTAAACCTTTTAATACTGAGTTGATTTGTGTTTTTTAAGTAGCCCATGTGCTCAGGTGAGCATGTGCCCATGGACCACATGGGCCTCTCGTTGATAAAATGCCAAGAGATACAAAACATATATTTGAGGAACATGTCTTCTGATCTACTAATGTGTTCAGAACCTTTTATTTTTTGGTCTGACATCTGCGAATTATAAAACCAAAGGAGTTCAGAGTGCCTCCGACAGTAGCTCTTGCAAGATGTAGCGAGACTACAGGGAGATAAGGTACACTATACACGGAAATGTGGCTAGGAAGTGACTAGCACTTGGAGACATGGTAAACAAAAGTTATGTTGTGTTGCAGTTTTTACCACCCTTTAATATCCGTAGAAATGTATACTTTAATCTCTCTTGACTTCATTCAAACTTTAATATTATTTATGTATTCCTACGAAAAAACTTGATTACCCACTGTGGTCCCACTCTACCGCCAGGGGTCATGATTTGAACAAACTTGAACCTACACTTCCTGAGGATACTTCCACGAGTTTCATCTTTCTTGACCCAGTGGTTCTTGAGAAGATTTTTAAAAGATGCCATCAATTTTTCACTTATTCCTAATTATCTCCCCTTCGTAGAGGGCATGGCCCTTCATTCGAATAAACTTGAATCTCCTTCACCTCGGGATACTTTGCGGCAAGTAATGAAGTTTGGTTGAAATTGGTCCAATGGTTCTCAAGAAGACAATCTTCATGTGAAAGGTTAACGACAAGGACGGCAACAACAACATCAACGACAGACAACGGATAAATTTTGATCAGAAAAGGTCACTCGATTCTTTGGCTCCCATGAGCTAAAAATACTAAAAATGATTTCCAACAAAACCAATTTCATCAATTTTAGAAAGATAATTTTCCAACTCTCCTTATGTTTTCTTAAATATAAAATCAAAGTCTTTTAAACTCTGTCTCAGGATTGATCTCATTTCTGTTTTACTAGGTAAATATTACAGCTGAAAACTTTTAATAAAATTACACCTTATTTGTTATCATAAATTTTTATTTTTCCTTATGTCTTCATACATTCAAAAAGCTAAAACTTTGAGTGAGAAAATCACAATGTCTATATAACTTTCTTCTTTTCCTTCTTTTCTCTTTTATTCTACAAAAGAAAAAAAGAACAGTAATATTAAAATATAGAAAATAGGCAAAATAAAAAATGAAATAAAAACAAATGAATTTGTCTGAAACTGAAGTAATAAATGCAATCTGCAAACTTCAGATTTTTTCACTGGTTTTAAAAAAGATCTCCTCTTAATCCAAAACAAGAAAGTGAATACTTAAAATAAAGGTAATCTGATATACTCTTTTCAAATATACCAAAAAGTTGACAGAATTCAATTGTTTTGACCAGAAAAAACCCAATTTCAGGTCTTATGATTCTGTTTGTATGTTTTTTCTCAAAAACTAAGACAAAAACATGGACACAAATGCTAATCATAGAAAAAAAATTGGAATCGCCTCATAATGTTACAATGTTATTGTCTTTGAATTATAATTCTTTTTCTTAAACTACAAGGTTGACCTACCCTTGAGAACCATCTGGTAGTACACAATTAGGTAAGGGAAACTGAAGCCAGAGGAGGTGTACAGAGCATACTTCAGGGTGAAGGG